CACAGCAGCCAACAACATTTGAAGGAGCACGTGAAAGACCTACAATTAAAGCTGGCAACAATTCCCCTTCCTTGCTCCCACCTCAGCAGCAAGGAATTGCTGTTAGCACAATGCATCACTCTGGAGGACCAAAGTGGCAGCACATTTAAGGCAAAAATATCTGTTTTAAAGGATGCAATAAAACAGAGCCAAGGAAGGGTTTATAGGGAAGCAATTGCTGTGTGGGGTGAGAAGTGGTCACCAGAGGCCAATCTGCCTGGCTTTATTGCCTGTTACTGGTGACTTTTCCCAACCAGGGGACAATAGATCCTCCACTATCAGCCTCCACTTCAGTCAATACAAACACGACATAGTTTTTTAAACTAATATTTTTCCAGCATGCAATTCCATAGAGAGTGAGAACGCAGCGTTACCATGGCAATATATAGACAGCATCTGCCTTGGACGTAGCTGAAGGGAGAAATTGGAATAGAATTGCAAATTTCCTCTGTCCAGGAAGGCTCCCAAGGAAGCCACTGCAGTGGGCTGGGCAGGCTACCTTCCCAAGCCAGCCTGCATGCTCCCAGTGGCCAGCACTGGCTCTCCTGACAGCTGAGGGCTGTGGGGCCAGCCAAGCACTGCCCTGGCTGGACAAAGATCCTGCATCCTGCTCCAGAGTTCTGCAGAGCATGGGCAGACCCTCTGCAACCACACTGCTCACTGAGAACTTGCCTAGGCACTTCAGGGAAGGGAGACGTTGACTTCCTCAAGGTGCTTCCTAAGAACGAGCATTGCCCAGAGCCCCTGAAAGGAGAAACGCCCAACAACTGGTGGGGAAGGCGGGAGGGCTGCTGAGAACGAGCATTGCCCAGAGCCCCTGAAAGGAGAAACGCCCAACAACTGGTGGGGAAGGCGGGAGGGCTGCTGAGATACACCAGCCTGGCTGCTGCAAGACATTTTGATTAACTGGTGAGAGGTAGATGCAGGTGAATAGATTAAATATGCTCTGAACAAGAGCTTGCTGCTGGAACTTTGGCAGGCAATGGCTGGGCAATATGTAAGAGTGCTTGAGGTGCAGCCACCCTGGCACACCCAAAGGCTGTAGCTCAGCACCCCTTCCCTCCACCAATGCAGACAGAGGGATGAGAGGCTGGCTGCAAAGTGCATGGGGCCCATTTCAGCAGAGGCAAACCCCAAAGTTTGGGAACAAGGCAAACAGAAGGACCATTAAATGCTGAGGCCAGGCATCCTGGAAAGGAAAAGCCAGAGCCAAGAGGGATGCAGTGATGGGGACCCCCAAATCCAGCTCTGCTGCCCTCCACATGGGGGGGAGGGACACACAGTCCACAGTGAGATGGGGGATGTTCAGCTCATCGGGGAGAAGGCAAAAAGGGGCAAGTGGGGCAATTCTCAGCTGTCAGGTAAAAAATTCAATAGCAGGAGAGAGTGCAACGCCATCATAGTCAATTCACCCCCTACAAGCAAAGGGCTGGGCTGGAAGCTGCCATTTGACAGTAGCAAATTTGCACTGATCCTGCTGGCGTGGGGAGAGCTATCCACCTCCTCAAAAGGGCAGTCTGCTCTTCAGAGACATTTTCAAAGGAAGAAAGAAAGAAAAGCAAGCAAATGGGGAAGGGAACCATGACCTTCTCCCACAGCTCTTCTCTGGTGGCTGAGGCCTGAGGGACTCCTGGAAGCAGATAACACTGTAGTGCTGGAGGATTATCACCCCATCCTAACTACAAAGCCTTCAGGCCTCTGTTGTGCTTGCCAGAGGTGTAGGCAGGAGCACAAGCATCTGTGCAAAGTGCCCAGAGACTTTGCTGCTTCCCATCCTGCTCAGCCTGATCCAGTCAGAGGGCAGGTGCATAACCCCCACTTACGTTGGGTTGCAGACTAAAAGGCACTTAGGGAGCAATATGCTGTGCCCTGGCACAAGCGAGGAGGGGTCCTGTGTCACCCCTCATGCAAGTATCACTTATGGTCCATCCTAGACACATCTGCAGCCCTTACTCTCTACCAACAGCATAGCACCCACCAGGAAAATACCACAGGGCAAACTGAAGCAGAAGACAATTTTTCCCAGCCTATGATTCTCCAAAGTTGCAGTAACTCTGCAAGGCAAGCAATTCCCCGTTCTTCAAAGGAAAACGGTGTCTTTCAAAAGTGAAGAGCACAAACCTCATCACAGGATGCTGCTGAGTGAGTCCCCACAAGGGCAGTGCCAGCAGTCACGGCTGCAGCAGTGCTGCCCTGTCCAGGGGCTTGACCCATGCCACCATGGGGCTCCAGCCAGGTGGGAGGCTGGAGAAAACCTGGAGACTACAAACACCTCACTTCCAACAGGCAAGAAATTCAACAGCAGCGACACCACTGCTCACTGTGGGAAGCATGGAGAGGCTGGCATTGCTCATGCTGTGCATCTCAGGGCTTGGGAAAAAGAGGCACGCAGTGGAGGGCACTGGTAAGAGGCTGATGATCTCTCCACAGAGAGCTGACCCCTGGAGAGAGCAAGTCCTGAGCACAGACCCTGCTGCAGCCTCCCCTGTGGCTGCCTGGTGACCTTGCTCCATCGAACACTGAGAAGCTAGAGACTGCAAGGAGCAGCCTGCTTACAGGGAATTGAAACTCATTTACGAGCTGTTACAGCAGGATTTCACTGCTAGGAGATAGACCTGCTCTGCACAGACACCCTCAAGCACCTGCACGGGTGTGCAAAACAGCAGGAAGTAGTTATCCAGCAGACAACACCCACGAGAGAGCAAGCATGTCTAGCTCAGTCCAGACAGAAGATCCGGCATCGCCAGCTGCATTAAAATCCAGAAAACCCAATGCTGCTGAATGGCAACAGACATGGAGGACCAGGTCAGTGGAGGCAGAACACGAGACAGCAAGCAGGACCCACGGCCAGGGCAGGAGAGATGCCCTGCCAGAACGGAGTGAGACACCCAACAAGGGCATCCTCCCTTAGATCACTCCAGCATTGCTTCATTTGAGCAGGGCTGAGCACCTGCCCAGCAGGCAGAGGTGGGGGCTCAATGCCAGCACTCCCCCAGGACACTGCATGCAGGTGCATGGAGAGCTGATGCCAATGACCACATTAAGCCCTCTAAGAAGCAGAAAAGGCTAGTACAGGCTATGCATAAACCTTCTCACTGCCCTGGGCACAGTGGAAAGGGGGATCCTGTCTCAGACCTCATAAACTTGGTCTATGGGATGGCAACTCACAGCAGCCTGGTTGCCGAGCTGGGTAATAATCATTTGTATGAGGATAATTATGGTAGGAGAAAAGAAAACTCCTCTAAAGTGGTATCCTGCAGAGCTCTTGACGCTGCATGCTGGGTGCAGCCCTGGCAGCTGCCAGGCTGTCTGCAATCCATGCATGCAGTCTTTGCCTGCGGGGTCTCTGCCCATCTGCAGGCAAAGGGCACAGTCACGTTCAAGGAGCTGCACACTGCACAGCACAGGGACAGGAGCACCGTCTGTGGCTGTGTTAGAACATATCCTGCAGCTCTGCTGCCCAAGGAGACAGCAGCTCAACACTTCCCTGCGCTGCAAGGGGGATGTGGGAGCAGCCTTGCCCCAGGGCCAGGGCCAGACAGCTACTGTGCCACTGTGCTCTACTGCAGCTACTCGGATGGGGCACCTGCTGCTACTGAGTGCTGGGGACAGCCCTGCTCTCCCGCCGGGACTGGGTTCCTGCATGCCAGGAACCTGCTGCCTGCAGGTTGCACACGTTCAGCTCACACTGCTCTCCCTGGGTGGGGGGCCCCCGGCAGCCACAGGACCCCAGGCCGGCAGACCTGCCCAGCCAGGCATAGCAGCAGAAGCCCTCTGCCTGCTCAGGGGAGCTCAGCAGGTAACATGGACCCACACAGCCGGCTGGACCACGACTGTGAGAGAAAAGTCTTCCTAATGGGAGCCCAGCTAAGAGAGCCAGGGACACGTCTCAGCACCCCTGAGGACGTGGCAAGGGGTTTGATGAGCAGTGAGGTACAGGCACAGGGGACTGGAGAGGATGGGTGAGCTGCATCTGGCTCAGGATGGGTGATCTGCACGGCTGAAGGCTGGTCACACCGTGCAGGATTCTCAAGAAGAGCTGGAGCAATGGGACTTGATCATAACATGATGTGCAGCATTCCCAGGAGAGCTTCCTGGGGACAAAGGGGTGCCCAGAACAGGTAGGAGCTTGGGGGTGACAGGAGCCCTCAGAGAACCCCTTTGGCTTTGTAGCTACCCTGTGACAAGTCACTGGAGGGGTGGCCACACACCTGCCGGGGGATTTCATGGGGCTGGTGCACCCACATTCACAATCCATTCTGGGCTGCCCCAGCGCAAGTGCCCCCCCGGAGCAACCCACTCCCTCGGGCACTGCTCTAATCCCCACCCCGCTCCACATACTTGCACAAAGACTGCCACACACGGCTTCTTGCACATGCCGGACCTCATGTACGACCCTCACACAGAGAAAGGGTCACACACACACTGCTCTCCACCTCGACGGGCTACTGCATGCCCCTCAGGAAGGGGATGATGCATGTAAACTCACCTAACAGGCCCTTGCATACGTATCCCCTGGACGGGAATCTACAGACGCACAACCCCCGGGCGTAGCGAGACACCGCACATCACCCACCCCACGAGGTTCTTGCAAACGCACCTTTTGGGCAGCCGACCGTGGCCCCAGGGGCATTTGCACACGTACTGCCCTTAACAGACACGGCGGCCACTTGCACACACCCCAGCCAGGCTGCTGGACACCCCCGCCACGGACAGCCTCTGTCACACGCACCCCCTGACGGGGTCCCGCACACACTCCTGACAGGCTCCTGAGGGCGTCCTGCACCCCCGCGGGGTTCCTGCCCACCCGGCCCCGCGGGGCACTCGCTCCCCACGCGGGGCACTCGCTCCCCACGCGCTTTTGGACACGCACCCTCGGACAAGCCCCCGGCCCCGGCGCCCCGCCGGGCTCCCGCACCCTCTTCGCCGCCCGGCGGCGGACAAAGCCCGGCGGTACTCACAGGCGCTCGGTGCCGCGGGGGATGCTGCGGGGCACGGCGCGCAGGGCCGAGCCGTGGCAGTCCACCGTGGTGCCGCTGCAGGCGCACAGCGGCGGGCAGGCGGCGGCGCGGCCCCGGCACAGCGCGGCGCACGCCAGCAACCAGGCGGCGGCCCGGAGCCCCGCCGGGACCCCCGCCGGCCCCCCGGGGGTCGGGGCCGCCATGGCAGCGGGCAGTAGGGTCAGGCGGTGCGGCCGCTGCGCATCACCGGGGAGCGGAGCAGAGCGGAGCGGGGCTGGGCTCGACGCGGCTCGGCGCTGCTCGGCTCGGCTGCGGGGCGAAAGCCCCGTCGGCGCACACCCGCCCACCCTCACTGCCGCCCCATCCCGCAGCCCAGGCTCAGCCCCCGCGCTGGCTCCTCCCTCCCGCCCTGCCCGCCCCGACGGGCCCCCCCGCCATCACCCGCGCCCCTCCCCGCGCCCCCGGTACCCGCGGCGGCGGAGGTAGCAGCGTTCCTGGCCGGGCAGGGCACGGGCATCCCGGCCGCCGGGGCCGTCGGGGCTCTGCACTGCCCCGACCCTGCAGGAAGGTGGGCTTCGGATGGTTCCCCCACCAGGGACAGTGGGATAGGTTCGTGGAGCACCCGACTTCTCCGGGAGAGGCTGCGGGCAGCGGCACCCCGGGGACAAACAGCCTGCGAGCCGGGCGGCTGCAGGCAGAGCATTCCCACCTCTCTTCGGGGGTGCCAAAAGCTTTCTCATCCCCTGATGTACTTAAGGGAACCTTGGCCTGTCTCCCACCCGGTAGCCTGAAACCCTATCCCTTCGTCCGGAGTCCAGATGAGACATGGGGACCTGGTACCCCACGGGGACCAGACGACAGGCTGGCACTTGCCAACCTGGATGGTGCCTGGCCCGTGCCTGGGAATCCCGCGGCTCAGCACCCCAGCATGCAGATGGGACTTGGGTGGCAGCTCTGCTTTGTGCTTTGCCCCACACACAAACAGCAAATCTTGAAGTCCTGGCTGTGGCATTAGCTATGTTCTCTTCCATTCCAGAGGAACATCTTTAAAAATGAAGTAACCGAAATGTCTTTTTGGCTAACCTACAGGGAAGAACAAGGCAAAATACACCTATTTCAATGCAAAAGGAAGTGAAGCCAAGAAATCTTATTTCAGCCCTAAACAGTTGACATCTCAAAAATGCAAACATTGCATTCATTTTATTGCCATCCATTTTTTTTCCATGAGATCTGCAAATGCAAGGCAGGAGGGTGTAACCAGGAGGGCTGGTCACCTGTTTCATTAATGACACCTGAAACACTTGTAATCCCATGGCTCCAAGTGCTGAATCCTTAAAAAAATCAGGTATTTTAATATGCCAAACACAACCCTGGCTTCTGGCAGCAACTGCTACAAATGTCCTCCTCAGAGAGGAAATCCAGAGAAGGGATGGGAGCCTGTTGCACTGTACCACAGTGGGAGGGTGCTGTGTGAACATGGACACCCCAGTACAACAGACCATGGGGGATATTTGCAGAGATAGTGGCAGTCCCAGGGGCCGGAGGGACTCTTAAATCAATGCCCTCTGCACATGGAGCTCCATAAGCTCCTTAATCAGGGCAAGAGGGAGGTGTCTGCCTGGGGTCCTGCTCCAGCAAGGGCCACCTCACACACACACAGGGTTGCCCAGCTTGGCCCAGATCAGCAGCTCTTTTCCATCCCAAATGCCGGCTCCCATCATCTGTCTGCATTTTCGTGACATCTCCTTCCTCTGGCCCCAGTCCCAGGAGGAAGCTGTGCCTGAGATGGATGAAAGGGGTTTGTTCCTCGTTGCTACCCAGCATCCCTGACAGCAAGGAAGATGAGCTGCTTCCCAGGACTCTGGGAGCCGACCCCTTGCTGGCATAGCTTCTGCAGAGGTGGCCCTGCAGCGTGTCCTGGGACTCCCAGGGAGACCCTGGTGGCAACAGCATCTTAAGGGGTCTGAACTATAGACCTTGGCTGTATTTTGGAGGGTGAAGGTTGTGTCAGAATGGCTTGGTGTCCCGCAAAGGCCGCTATCAGTGCGATGCTTGTGATCGCCCTCCCTCAAAAACTCCCCTTCACCCCTTGGCTGGCAGAGCATAACCGGGTCTTCCTAACCTGCACTTTACCTTTAGTGCTGGCAGGAAGGCAGGAGGGAGAGAGTGATCTTGTTTCCTCCGTTTTTTTGCAGCACTTGCCTCAGGCAAGTCCTTGTGATCTGCAGGAAAAGCAAGCTCTCTCCATCTCTGTGTCCAGCTGCAGCAACACCTTTCCAGGGCTGCCAACACAACAAGGGCTGGGTGAGCCAGGACAGCAGTGTGGGGGGACAGGCTGTGTACCAAGACCCTTCTCCCACACCTCAGCCCCTGCACTTGGGTGATCCCAAGTCACCCAGGCACCCTGATGGTGTGGGCCTCAGAGAGCAACAGCTGCCTGGGAAAATCCCAGGGTTCCTCTAAATAGGGATGAGGAGCAGGGAGAAAAATAAACCCCAAACTTCTTTATCAGGGGAGGCCTGGTCCTGCCGTCTGCCACTGGGATTTGGGCCAAACTGCTTGATAGAGAGAGAGACCATCTGGATCGTCTGATGGGCTCTGGGTTTGGTTAAAATTAAGCAGAAGCGGTTTTTTTTGGTAGGAGTTTTCATGGGAAGATCCGGGGAAGGGTTCCAGGGTACGCGCCAGACCTGTCGTGCAAAGAGATGCGAAGCAGCTACAAAGCTTCAAACAAAAAATTGCTGCCAATTTTAAGCCAAGCCCCCCAGGGCAGGATCCCGGCATTTCCTCCCACCCAGGATGGGTCAGAGCTCGCCCTTGTTAGCTCTCTCGTGGGCTGGGCTGGCACCTTCGAGCAGGCCTGGACTTCAAGGCAGTGTGCAGTACCCTGGATTTGGGCATGCAGAGGGAGGCAGCACACCCTGGCCCATTTGTACCCCGCTTTGAAGCAGTGCTGTGGCTGTCACCTGTCCACAGCAGTGCTCAGCCTTTCTCAGAGTGGGATCAGGCACTGCTGCAGAGCAGAAGTGTTTAAACATAGGCAGTAGGATTCTGGCTGGACACCAGGTTCCCCCCCAAGCCACTCTGTCCCTCCCCTCCTCAGCTAGCCAGGGGAGAGAAAGTACAATGAAAAGCTCATAGGCCAAGGTAGGGTCAGAGAGAGATAACCAGTTAACAACACAGGCAAAACAGACTTGACTTGGGGAAATTGGTTAAATTTATTACTCATCAGATCCGAGTAGGATAATAAGAAATAAAACCTAATCTTAAAAACATCTTTCCTCATCTCTCTCATCTTCCTGGGCTCAGCTTCACTCCCAGTTTTCTCTACCTCCTGCCTACCAGTGTCACAAGAGGATGGGGAATGAGAGCTGTGGTCAGTTCATCAACACTGTTGTTTCTTCCTCCTCAGGACAGGGACTTCTCACATTCCTCCTTTGGGCATCCACTGGCTCTGATGTAGGGTCCTTCACAGCCTGCAGGTGAATCTCCACTGTGGATCTGCATGACCTGCAGGGGTACATCCTGTCTCACCCTGGGCTGCAAGGGAATCTCTGCTCTGGTGCCTGGAACACCTCCTCCCCCTCTTCTTTCACTGACCTTTGTGTCTCACGTATTCTTTCTTCTCTACAGGTGCTGTTGGTGTTGTGCAGAAACTTTTCCCTTACTTACATACATTATCCTAGAGCTGCTACCACCATTGCTGATGGCCAGCCTTGGCCAGTTGTCGATCCATCTTGAAGCTGACTGGCACTGGCTCATTGGAGATGGAGGAAGCTTCTAGGAGCTTCTCACAGAAGTCCCCTACTACCAAAGCCTTGCCACACAAACCAAACACAAGCACATGTGCATGATGCCTGCTCCAGCCTCCCTGCTGAGGAGTGTTGCCAGCAGCAGGATCTGCCATCCCTTGCACTTGGGCTGTGCTTTGAACCCTTCCTTCCACCAGCAGCGCCTGTTTGGGGAGCAGTGGCCATAAGACCCAGCTGGAGATGTATTGGGAGCAGAGTGGCCGCAACTTTCAGCTTCTTATTGTCCCCCAGAGATTTTGTGCAGGGTGGGCTGCTGGACTGTCCTGGGCCACATCTGTCATGCCTGGCCAGCTTGGTTCATGCTGGGAGGCCAGGCTGCCTTTGTCCTGCCAGACACACTGGGCTTGGGAGAGTGAGGCATTGTGTGGGGGCGGGCGTGTCAGCCCTATTAGGGTACCTATTGGGCTTCTGTAGCACGACAATACCCTTGATGGGTCTATTATAGAGTGGTGCTGGCAGCTGGGGGCACTGGGATCACAGTAAATCTCGTCTGGTTAGCAGCAGCAGCAGGCAGGGCTGGGATGCACTCTTTCCTGAGTCTTTCCAGGGACAAGCCGTCCCTCACAAACAGCAAGAGCATCACCCTGTGAATGTGGCCAGCACTGCCTTGCAAGCTGCCAGCACTGCCCTGTGAGCGTAGCATTACCCACTAGACACTGCCAGTGTTGCCCTGTGAACACCACTACCATCACCCTCCAAATGTGGCCAGCACTGCTCTGTGAAGGTGGCCCCAGTGACTGCAGGAGCTGGGCAGCTCTACTGCCTGGCGACCTTCACCATTGGGACCAAGTGAAAGGAAAAGTATCTGTTGATTGCTCTGAGATGATGGAGGAGATGCCAAGACTCCCAAGCAGGTGGATTTTGTCCCAGTCTGGAACAACAGGGACCATCCAGGTAGGGGGAGCCCAGTCTGTCTCACTGCCTTGAAGAATTATGGTACAGCAGGAGGGGGACAGTCTGCAAGGCACTGCATCCCTGCTTTGTGGCGTGGCTGAGCAGAGGGGCTGAGCCCTGCAGGCTGGGCTCCCAAAACCAGCTCTAGTCCACAAGAAAAACATTTGCACCAAACAGCCCAGATGGAGATGAAGAGATGCTGTTCCCAGCACTAGCTGGACACACCAACCGCCTGGGATCTCCAGGGTGCAGTGCAAGCTGGTTTGAATAAACCACACGCAAGGAGGTGTCTGTGAAGCGCCTTGCACATGGAAATACTATTGTTGAATCAGGGGCTCCAGGGTCCCCAGATGTAGCAATTGTTCCACAT